ATAACCCAATTAAGAAATTGGCAAAGGACCTGAACACACAGTTCTCCAAAGAAGAAATGCAAATAGCCAACAAGCACATGAAAAGATGCTCTACATCACTAATCATCGAGGAAATGCAAATCAAAACCACAATGAGATATCAATCACCTCACACCAGTTAGAATGGCCACTATTCAAAAGACAAGAAACAACAAATGCTGGCGAGGATGTGGAGAAAGGGGAACCCTTCTACACTGTTGGTGGAAATGCAAATTGGTGCAACCACTGTGGAAAGCAGTATGGAGGTTCCTCGAGAAACTAAAAGTAGAAATACCATTTGACCAAGGAATTCCACTCCTAGGAATTTACCCGAAGAAAACAAGATTCCTGATTCGAAAGATATATGCACCCCTATGTTTATTGCTGCACTATTTGCAATAGCCAAGATATGGAAGCAATCTAAGTGCCCATCGATAGATGAATGGATAAAGAAGAGATGGTACATATACACAATGGAATATTATTCAGCCATAAAAAGAAAAGAACTCCTGCCATTTGCAACCACATGGATGGATCTAGGGGTATCATGCTCAGTGAAATAAGCCGGGCGGAGAAAGACAACTACCATATGATTTCACTTACTTGGGGAGTATACAAACAAAGCAAAACAGAAGGAACAAAACAGCATTAGACTCACAGACATGGAGAAGTGGTAGTGGTTACCAAGGGGGAGGGGTTGGGATCCGTGTGAGAGGAAGGGGAGAAAAGGACACAATAATTCGCAATCACAATACAGGTTGATCATGGGGACTGTTGAGCCACTGTGATGTACTTTTGAAACCAACATAATATTGTATATTAACAATACTTTAATTTAAAAAAGTGCTGAAGGAACAAACTATTAACCCATAATTCTATGTCCAGCAAAAATATCCTTTAAGAATGAAGATAAAGACATTTTCAGATAAAAGAAAACAACAGGGTGTTGCCAGCGGATCTGGATGACAAGAAATGCTAAGAGGATAAGTCTTATATTAAGCCTTCCTTTTTCCCCATAATTTCTATCTTTTTATTGATATAAATTGTCAATCATGTATCTTACTGTATATGTGCAATCATGCTTTCTTTTAATTCTGTGAACATATTTATAATGGTTGTTTTGAACATTTTTTTTGTTAAATCCATTGTCTTGTCACTCTCCAGACAGTTTGTACTGACTATTCTTTTGCAATATAAGCATCATCCTTTTTTTTTAAAGATACACTGAGAATATTTATTATGTTTATATTTATTGATTTCCTATTACTTGAGCTTCACTCCTGGAATTCAGTCTATTTGGGGAGATAAGACAATTTATCACTTTGTAAGATGTACAGATTGGTGAATGATTCAGAAAAATACATTTAAAAAGTCCCATAAATGTTCAGAATATTAAGCCTTCTTAACAAGCACACACAGCAAAGAGGGCAGGAGGAAACTTGTAGGTGATGGGTATGTTTATGTCATAGATTGTTGCGATAGTTATATACTTATTTCCAAACCCATCAAGTTGTACACATTAAATATGTTTAGCTTTTTGTATGTCAATAGTACCTCAATAAGGTGGCTAAAAAAAAGATAATATGTTAATGGGTGCTCTCCAAGTTAAGGATAATTATACCAGATGAAAATTCAGATCTTCAGGAAGGAATAAAGAGTATAGAAACATTTATGTACATTTACATGTAGGAGGTTTGGGATAAAATAATTATAACAGAAGGATAATTACAGCATACAGGATGGGGGAAGGACAGAATGGATCTATATGGTTGCAATATTTCTGCATTTTACATGAAGTGATACATTATTAATTCTAAATAGTCTGTGAAAAGTTAGAGATGTAATTACAATCCCTAGAGTGATCAGTATAAAAATAGTGCTGCAGTATATACAAATTAAAATGGAATTTTAAGACATTCATTTAATCCAAAAGAGGTCAGGAAAGGGGGAAAAGAATACAAATCAGAGGGGGCAAACAGAAAACCAAGAGTAAAATAGAAGGTGTAAATCCAACCATATCAATTACATTAAATATTAATGGACTAAATACAGCAAAGGACACCATCAAGAGAACAAAAATGAACCCTACAGTATGGGAGAATATATTCACAAATGACAGATCCGATAAAGGCTTGACATCCAAAATATATAAAGAGCTCATGCACCTCAACAAACAAAAAGCAAATAATCCAATTAAAAAATGGGCAGAGGAGCTGAACAGACAGTTCTCCAAAGAAGAAATTCAGATGGCCAACAGACACATGAAAAGATGCTCCACATCGCTAGTTATCAGAGAAATGCAAATTAAAACCACAATGAGATATCA